AGGTTTTGGAAACGTTGATATGCTCGAATCTGCTTGAGATGTATTGTTTAGTCATCCACGTGCTTGGTTCATGCTAACTATGATTATTGCTAATCAATTGTTTTGATATTTTCTAGTCTTCCTTACATCCAGGTCCTTAGCAGCGTTCCCCCCCCCCTCCATCACTTTGTGATGACAAATTTCTGCTCTTTGGTGCTCACCGACCCTGCATTCACGACCCCCTCCCCCCTCCCCGGCGGCCAAGTACGACTGACCATGGGTTTCGCACTGCTATGTTGTACCCTGCTCCCACTTACCGTTGCACTTGCACCTTCTCCGCACCACCTCCACCTTGCATCAAAAGGAGGTGGCGGCGCAGTTTGTCGACGGGGGGGGGGGCATTCTGCTTTCCATAGATGTGCCGACCCATCTAGGTAGCCTTTTCTCGAGTTGACACGTTTTAGGATGGTGGCTAGACGATCTTGCACCAGCTTCACAAGGGTTCACAAGTTTTACCAGGGTGAGATTTGAACCGGAACTAGGGAAGCAATGGTAGTAAAAAATGCCCCCCCCCGTCGACAAACAGCGCGGAAGGTGGCCTTTCTTTCCTAATATCAGCAATGCTTGAAGGCACCGTCCGTGATTAGGTATAGAAGTTGAAAATATGGCATTGGGAGGATAGTGTGGTCCGCGACGAACAACTTTGTACCGGTTTCGCGGCAAAAAATTGTAAGGGAGGGGCGCTATAGCGCAATATAGGTCAGTGACGCCTCCTTTTTCCAGTGACTCCGCCTCCAGACTCCGCCTTCGAAGCCCGCCTTTCAGTGAAAAACGAAGCTGCAGGGCAAAAAAAAACATGAAAATCGTCACTTGTACGGTCGTAGAGTTCTTATCGGGAATCAGCTGTGCGGATGAGGGCGTAGTGTTGGAGATAGAGTTAATTGGGCACGTACAAACTGGGATCAAAATGGGGTTCTATCTGGGCAGTTGGCAAATTTTTTCTGCTTCTTTCTTCACTATGGAGTTACTCAGAACCTTGTCGTTTATATGCAAGCTCCTGATGCACTACCTGTGAAGGCGAATGATCGCGGGCTTTTTTAAGAAAACATTTTTTATTGAAGCACAGCGAAATTCGACAGCATGAGAGAAATAAGGGAACAAACAGATTTTGTCGACAGTTAAAAAAACGATAATAGAAAGGAGGTATTTCGTAGAAGAGGCAGCGTTGTTCTTCATTGTTTTTCTAATGAATCTTCGTTGAATTCCACGATTATGCTAACCGGCAGGCTAAAACGATCAGTTGATTGATAGATGATTATGGGGATATATGTGAGGAGATAAGATCAATGGTAGCAGCAGCAGCGGAAATAACAGTATCAGAATCAGCGACAACGACTAGGCCTCCTCAACAGCACTGAAAAGAGAAAGATTTATTTGAGCGTTTTGCGGACCAGAGTAATGACCTAGTACTGCAATCGTCTAGTTACTCTACTTCTATTCTACTAGTAAGAATTCAAAATCTATTCATACTTGATAGAAGGCCGTGCGATCAGGCGACACTAAAATACGAACATTCTCAGGTTTAAGACTTTCTTTACGCACTACCTTCTTGTTTTGCCTTAATAAGGAATTTCTTCCCATAGATAACTTACTCTTTTCCAGTGAGAGGCTTCAATTCCTGGTTTCCGGTCAACACAACATATTTCTCCTCAGCATCTTGAGGAGTATGGAATCCAATAGTCATTTGGTATAGCCAACCTCCAATAATGGCTCCGATGAAGGGACCGACGATTGGCACCCACCACCAAGACCTGTGCCTGAAATAGTTACAAAAAGCACTCTTTGATATGGATCAACTCTATGCCGGAGATAGAACAGCGGTGGAGCTGAAACGTCAAACTCAGCTACAGTATAGTCACCGCTGTGGAGTTAATATGGGGGGGGGGCAGTTTGGCCACTGTGAACGTCCTACATGACCGAGTGAAATACTTTTTCGTCTTCCCATAATTTTGCGCATGTTTCCTGCCCTCCAGAGGGCATTGCCTCTGTTCTGTTATTTCCAAGCTCGATGCTAGCTTGTTTTGTCTACATGGGCTTCGGTCGGAGGATCTGAGATTAAAAGGGAGGCGGGAGGAGGGGGGGGGCGAAGATTTTCGAACCCCAGCATGTTCCTCGGTAGGCTAGGAGTAGGAGTTTTTGCAAAGAAGCAAGTGTCATTACCATAGCGCTTGGCGTGTTTTGTCGCGGAACAAGCTCCCGCTCCCAAGGAATGGACTGCGGCTAAGTCGAGGCATTTCACTGCCTGCTTGCTCCAGCTCCATGTGTCAGTACAGCGAAGGAAACCCTTTCCAAGCCGGCTAATGTGTTTTTGCGTGAGCCTTGGAATTTCAGGACTGTTCCATTGTTCAGGACCAAGAGAAGTCGCTCTCCAAGACGTTGGGTTGTGAATTCAAATCCAACAATTTCTGTACCTGGCTTTACATCAGTCTTCTGCAAACCCCAACAAAGATGTGCAGCTGATCCCAGAGCGTTTATAAAGCCATCAAATAAAATGGGAAGGAGCAGTGGCGAGAGTGATACTCCTCCTTCTCCTGGTAGCCGAGACTTTCGAACAGAAGGAGCAACAGGCAGCCTGCTATTGCTCAACTTGACCCATCCCAGTTCCTGTGGTCGCTGAACAAGGACCTTCGGCCAAAAGGGGCATCATGAGAAATGTTCGCTGAGAACTTCGTCCTCACTTCCGATGAAACATCGCAACAAACGATCGCCACGCACGCAATGGGGTTCTATTAAGCATTCGTAAGACACTGGCGAGTCATGAGCGCCATAGCTTCCTTGAGCAGCTGCATTTTGTTGGTCCAAGAAGGTCTAGTTTGGTCCAAAAAATTGCGTTCAGCACGACTCTACTTTTCTATACTTGAGGACCCAGTCAAAAGATGCTTGCAGTGCTTGGAATGACGCTACTTCGCGTCTGCATGGGCTGAATCCATGACCTTAAGCCAGTTTAGCCTTCTATATCTCTGGGGTCAGGCGAATGGTATCAGACTCGTCTGGGAAGAAAAACCCTGACTTTTAAATCGGCTGCTGGCTCCACAAGCCATTGAATGGGTCGCAGTCGTCGTTTACAAAGTTTCTACGATTCCGATTGGAAATAGGGTGCAAGGTGCGTCACAGAGGGGCACAACGGCGAAAGTTTCACTTTCTCGGAATATTGTAGTACATATGAGCGGAGCTAGAGTCCAAATAGAGGAAGAGGTCGTAGCCCTAGACTACCGGATACCAATCTCACTGAGCTGTTGAGTGTGAGAAGTTCTGCTACACTAAAAGTGGATGAGGCCAATATTGAGTAGGCGGAACAAGTAATACGCCCCCTCCCAGAGCTGTTATGGACATGCCTGTCTCTTGCGACTGCACTGTGCTCAGCTTATGATTTTGAGCGTTAACGTCATTACGGTTGACATCAAGTTTGCTCACAAACTCGGTTCCCCTACAGCACCATCCTTACAGCTAGATCGTTGTAATCACTGGTCCTGGTCTCTCCCTTGATGGTCTCCCCCCTCCCTCTGTCGCGCTCCTAGTGGATCAAGTACAGCAAAAAAAGGGTAAGGGAAACTAGCATCAGTTCCTTCCACGATGCACTACATCAGTAGTGTTTTGTCCGGTAGCTAGGAGATGCGGCAATATAGCTTCTCTATTGAAATAGAACCATAAACTTGTAGTAATTTTCGGGCTTTTTGCATCTACAGCATTAGTGGACGGGCTTTCAGGACGCAAACAACCTGCAACAACCTCATAAACTGAGTTTTGCGACTGCCTACGAGTTCCTACTCAGCACACTTTCTAAGCGGTGACTGATGCCGTTCTTGGAATGCGCCAAGGATTCCTCTTCCAGTAAGAGTCATGACGACATCTTGAATGCAGATTGGTGTATACAGTGTCACAGCGATCAATAAAAAGGCCCGTATACTCGTTCTTTCAGAGGAAGCCGGTACCCGTTTTTCGCTACGAGAGTATTTGGTCGGCCCTTGGGAGAGGCGATTCGACATTTGACAATCATACCATCTGCCTGGTAAGTGCCGCTCGACCTAGGCACAGCACCTTCGCCTCTGATCTGATTCCAGGTTCGAATTTTTAAATTTCCGCTAAATCTGAAACGGCGCCAGCTCCCAAAGTCAATGCTCAACCTTTCGCTTAACCAAAAATGCTTTGGCAGAGAAGGCCAACCTCTCCAGCCGAAAAAGCTGCTTATGGGAGATTTCGTGGCTAAATTGTGACTCGTCAAGGATTCTGATTGGTTCACAGCGTTACCTCCATCCCAGCTTTTGATGTACAACTTTCACCACCGGCGGAAATTCAATGACATTGGTCATACGTCAAGTTCGATCAAACGGAAGGCAGATAATATCCTATGCGTTACCTTCTATATGTCCATCACCCGTTAGATTGATATGGCTCGATCAAGCTATTAGCGGCTATCCTACCCAGGTTTATCTTCCTCTCAAGTGATGGACTTATTTGGCTTCAAGGCGCACCTTTTTAACATTTATTGGGCGAGAGTAACGTAACAGGGTCAGTAAGTAGGCGATTCGGATGAAAGCTCACTGGATTTTTGAGGCAGATTGCGTAGCTGTGAAAATTGTCGAATTCACAAGAATTACAAGTGCTTCACCAGAGTGACACTTGTAAACCTGAACTAGTGAAGCAGCGAAGGTGCAAAATGCCCCCGCGCCGCCGAACTGCGCCGCTACTGACCACCCAGGATATAGTGTCGTTTCCAAATCTCTAGAAGGCGACGCTAAACAAACTAGTGCTCCTTCGACCAGACTAGACTGACGAATTCCTAGACTTGGATGCAGGGGAGCCGGGGACACACTTCCTTCCCCAAGGGGTTTTAGCACGCCTTACGTCAAGCTGATCCCTTCTTCGCTATTCCTCTTCTAATTTCACGCCGACCAAACACGCCACCTATCCATTGATTAAGTAAAAGACGTGGTCGCGAAGTCCGATCTGGATTACAGGGACTATCCGCAGTTGAAGCGAAGCGGTTCAGCAACAGCCGAATAAGAGCAGTCCAATGCTGACCAAGGATAAATGAGCATATAAAGATTTGTGAAGTGATTCTGAACACTTACGTAGAAACAGAAAGGAAAAAAACAGGAGAAAGGTTGAAGCCATTGTGGATACGAGTTTCTCTTGTCAGTGATGTGGGCGATCAGGAAGCAGAACACAGCGGTGGCGATAATCTGAAGTGTAATCCTGGTCATTTGCAAAGGAGGGGAAACAACAAAGTTATCTAGATCCTAGTCCCAGACAACTAGAGCAGAAGATAACCGTTTGGATACTCCCGTGATTCCGGACAGACCACGTTGTACATTGAGGAATCCCCAGCGGAGGGATCGTATTTAGTCGCCGGGACGATGGGAGGGCATTGATTAGGCCAAATTTTTTTGATATTCCTGTTTCACGGCGCTGCGAAGGAGGTGGTCGTATGTTGCTCGCTGTTGGGATAGATGGTAGCGGAATCGTTTGTTTGTTGTTGGAAGAGGGGGTTCGTATTTTGCAGAAATTTTTGGCGTTAGGGAAAAAATTTTCTCCGCGGGCAGCTAACTTTTCGCCATTACAATTTCGCCAGGTGGACACTCCGTGAACCGCGAACTAAGTGAAGGCAGCAAATGCTTCCACATCGCGAACTGCTCCGTATGCTGACTACACAGGAAGCCCTAGGGTATATTCTCGATGGCAAACTCTATGAAATTTCGACGCTTGCAACAACTAGTTACTCGCTCGGCACAATAAAAAAAAGGCTGAGCAAAGGCCTGCGGAGTCCGGGAGTCATTCGTTCCTCATAGAAGGAATGCTTTACATGTGGCTGTATATTCTTCCACCACCCGCTTCAAGACAAAATTTGCGGAAAAAATCAGAAACATTCCGAAACATTCCGGAAAAACTGAAGAAGTGGCACGCCAGAATAGAGAAAGGGGTAGTATTTTCCGAACATTTTCCGCAGCAGCAGGACGTGCCCAGATTGCTGATAGTCATGCTGTTGCCCGGGTATCTCCATTTACTCCGGTAAGCTTATTTCCACCTAATTCCCGCATTTGCACACCGTGAGTGGACTCCGATCGGGTTGCCAGGGAGACATCGTAACCAGCAATTCATGCCTTTACCGATAATTAGTGTTGGTTGTGTTGACGGCAAACCGTCGATCAAAGGTCTGGGAGCCTATTTTAATTCACAAATGTTTTCGTGCTCAGTGAAAAAGCGCAGGGCTAAATAAGCGGAAATGAAGCAGCGTTGGAATTCATATAGCGAGTTTGTAGTAAAGAAGGAGAGGGTTGCATGTTTTTTCGCCATTCTTGATTTTCCATGTTCCAGGCGCGCTATTTATATCCCGCAGGATGTACTGTGTTCAGAGCACTTTCTGCCGCTGCAGAAAATTTAGGGAAATACGAATCCCCAAACTTGCTCTCCTGATGCGGGCCCCCATCCTAGCTACCACCTTAGTTCTCCCATCTTGCGCGCCCACTTCTTCTAGATCCAGTTTTTCCTCAAAAGAATCGCTGTCGAGCGGGCGTGTAGAAGAGATCGAGCCCCCGTTCGTGGATGTTCTCTTCCACCGCAATAGATGTGGGGACTCGTAGTGAGGACAGTATAGCCGCGGCACCTTCCTTTTTCCCATGATATTCGCTAACGGAGAGTCACCCATTGTAGTCCATGTAGCCATTGGATTAATAAGCCCCTCCCCGCTTTTATCCCTGGAGTTACTTGATATCCATTGTGTAAGGGAGACCATTCCATACTGCTACTCTCAAAACATGGGCGGTCACTATTTGATTCATGAGACCACGTCCTTTCTGATAGCGCTCTTGACCCTGGCTCCCCCGGAAACGAGTAATTTTACGCACCGAGCGGACAACGGGCGTGACGGCGATTGGCGACTGGGGGAGGTCGGGTCACTAATGAGATGAGATCGTTGCACGCAGTTGCGCACCAGTCACTATAAACAACCTCCTCGTGGGTCCCCGACCAAAGGATGCCAACATGCATGCGAACCTGATCAATGAGGCCTCCGAATAGACCGAGATGGTTGGCCGGATAGGAGGCGAAAATGCCGGCAGTTGCTTTTGGTCCAATCACTGCTCGAATACCTCCGTCGAAGCTATTAATCGCTTCTGAAAATTTTCGTGCAATAATGAACCCTCCCTGAATTTTCGAAGTTTGGACCAAACACCATCATAGCAAGTTCACTGACTTACCGTGGTAAAGAGCATATGCTAGGGCAGCGCCAACAAGGGCACCAAGAGTCTGTGCGATAGTGTAGAGGATGAAACGTGCAGGAGCCAGCTGGCGGAAGGTGAGGAACATCAACGACACAGCCGGATTGATGTGACCTCCTGTAAAGCCTTTAATGTGCTGACGACCTTGACGAATAAACGCCGCAACAGCGACGCTAATCGCCGACAACATTCACCAAACAGAAGCCAATGAAAAGGTGTTGAAGTGCTCTCAAGGAGAATCACATTCCTCACATTTCTTAACCAGCGAATCAATCAGATTTTCCGCTCTTCTAACCTGCACATTTTTACTGGGTCACTGCATCTCCCCTCGAACCAAAAATTCAAAAACCACTGTTTCTCATGCTGGACAAACCACAACGGGTTCTTATTCTATCTGGGAGTTCAAGAATTCGGAGACATTCCTTCCCATGGTTTTCCTCTGGACCACCTTCGCCCTATTACTCCAGCATCGATCGAGCTAAATTTCTTTCGGTTCCTAAAAAGTTCCCCAAAACTATACATATACTCCGGCAAAGAAGGCTGATGCTCAGAATTTCACCACCTTCCAGGGCTACCCTACTGCATTATACCCCCCCAGTCAGATTCTGAATGATGACCTTTACAAACAAATGTAGCCACTCTATTCATCAGTTTTCCCTTTGTTCAGCACTGGCTGACTCGACCCTATTCAGTTTCTCTCACGGTGAAGGTCATACCGTCATCTCCTTAACCCTTTCGGTTTACGATCTTTGCCGCTGACCATAATGCCTAAGTGAGGATCCACAATAATTATCCTACTGCACGCTCCCCCTGCCCTCTTATCGAGGAAACTGGGAGTCCTAGAATGAAGACAAGGCCGGGTGCTTGAGGAGTCTCGGAGGGAGGTTTTCCCCGCTTTCACTCACCTGAGATCTTTGCCGATATGGCGACACCGAAAGCGATGGCTAAGCCGAAGCCAACATTTATTCCGATCATTTCGTTCAATCTTGGACGTGGTAGTACACTTTGGGCGACAACACAATTACCAATCAGCTGAAATAGGAGTTCATTAGTTCACTGGCTCCATTTAGGGGCTACTATAAACCGTCCCTTGCCCGAAAAAAACCTTTTTTCGAAATGGTGAGATTAGCGCCCTGCCTAGTCATTTTTCCGACACCTCCATTTTGAAAGCAGTTCTGCTGTTTTGGCATTGGGAGATGTCCCTTGAGCTCTTCGAGCTACCCGTGCCGTTCATTTTCCCATGAGACTCGACCGACCAGATAATAGCGGCCCATTTGTCGCGCGGTTGAAACGCCAACTGGGGACAATGAGCAGGACGAAGCTCAGTATGCTGCAAATATATGCGGCGCATGTCGCCTGCGCTGGCTGGTCGACGTCCCCCACCCCTCTCCCTGCAGATGGCTCGTGAATTTTTCGCCGGACGGAAAGGCATTTAACGCCATATCATTGCCACTGTGTCGTGAGTAAACAGCCACTGCTTTACGCTACTGTGAATCGAATCATAACAAAAGCATCGTATCTATTTTGAGTAATCAATTAGCGGCCACAAACAGTACGGTAAAATTGAAGCTTACCAGAAGTAGGGCTGTGCCCATGAATTCTGCGATTAGCGCTCGCCCCAGCTCGTTTTTGATGTGAAGCTTTGCACGTAATTTTTCCATATCTGAACATAATCGTCTCAGAAAAATGGAGGAAAAGAAAGTCGTCTAAGAACGGGAGAACGGGCAAAAGAGCTTAGAAGTCTCATCAAAAAACACATTGTCCACATCAAATGAGTGAGTCGAAATCGATGAGGGAAGATTAGGAGATGAGAGAAAGCGATAGGAGGCCAACGACCAGAAAGGGAGGTGTAAACCAACGGGACGAATGAAAAGGCGAGCAGATCGAATGAACGTAGCAATCCGTGAGAGAAAGCCGCACGGGTTACCTAGAGCTCATGCGTACGGGCTGGGTTGTTTTGGCGGCCATGGTTGTTTACGTGATGAAAGGATGCTCACACGCCATGCTGCCTCTCAACGACCACTGACGGGTGCATGAGCTCTTTGGGGTTATGAGATGATGCAGAAGAGCTCTTTGGCCCGGTTTCTACTCCACCCAGAACTCCTGGGGCGAATAAAGGCGAAGGACGTAGATCTGTCTGGAGATTGACAGAAACAGATGGTGGACGTTGTGAGTGCAACCTCTGCGCTGTTTACTAGCACGCGAGGCGATTGTTGTTGGTTGTGGCTGACGGCCACGCCCCTCTCTTGCCTTGGCACAACGCCAAATTTACATGCAAGACAGGCATGGTAATGATATGCCACTGGTTTCATGCTAACTAACACTTACACTGGGAATTATTGGATCGAGAAGCAGGGAGCTACTGTACTGCCGGAGCACGAGTGTGTGATACTGAAGTAAACAGTAAGTGTATTGATAACACCTGCTACTGGTCACGTGCAAAGTAACAACAGTTTAGTAGTATGACGAGAAAGTAGGTAGTCCTTTGTCTATCCTTGACCGGGATCAGACTGGGGATCAGGCAATTCACGGATGAAAGATTCGGGAACGTATTACGCGTCACTGCGGCGATGAGGTCCAGCCATTTGGCGGCGACAGGCTCCGATGGGTGACTAGTGACTCCCGGAAGAGTACGAGGGTCGCAGATCAAGGTTGTCCTTCACAATTCTACTCCATGCTCGCCCCTATTATTACCGGGAAAATCATAATAGTAGCGAGCGCGCACACATAGAGTAAACACAGCCATAAAAGGGAGGAACTTGTGGCGGGTAAAGTGAATGAACGATGGTAAGTGCCTCGATGACCATAAGGGTGCCACCGGGTCGCAACTGGTCAGTAGGGCTCGATATCCGCTGTGGGAAGTACAACGAGCGGGGGGGGGGTGGAAGGGGGATGGAAGAGGGTGATGCAGGGGGAGTCCGCATTTGCCCATAAGTGAACATTTTTGTTGAAAATCTCCCCGGCTTCCACCAGCCGCCGGGGCGAAAACAGAAAGTTTTAATACCCGAAATCATGTAAACTGGAACACTGTAAGGTATGACTGGGGGAAAAAGGAAACAAAAGAGACCAGGCGTAACATCGTTGCTGAGGATTCCCAATAATTGGGCTGCTGACCTCTTTAAGAGTTTTTTCTGTTCACACGGCGATACTATATAAGCCCCCCTATAGTCCTATAATATCTGGCAGCAAAATTTTTGGAAAAAGTAAAAAATTTCCGGGAAGTTCTGGAGAAACTTGTAAGACAGGGGAAAAAAGTAGAAGAAACTGGTGGTAGGATGGAAATGGAGAGGATCGTAGCGGACCAAACTCTTCCCGTGCTTTCCAAAAATTTTCCCCAGCGACAGAACGTGAATTGAAAGGGACGTCCTACCAGAAGCGAAAATTCAGAGGGGGTCGTGCAAAATCTTTCTACAACGTGATGATGTGCCTGCTGGACAGAGCGGGTGGATCTGGTAGGAGGATTCTCGGAAGTGCACTGACATTGAGAAGCTTGGAAAGAGCTCAGTGTAATACAGATGGGATAGCAACTGGGTGACATTTATGAATGGTCCGGGAATGTTCTTGTTCCTGAGTCATATTCAAGAAAGTTCGGTGTCGAGAATCGGTAACCTTGACTCTTTAGAAGGTAGGTTTTTCAGATCGATGATGACGCAGAGCCATCTCCTATTACTGGACAAGTGGGTAGAAAAGTGCTTCTGAACCGATTTCTGGACCAAAATAGAAATAGATTGCTGTGAACAAGTGCTCGATGGTACACGAAAATGCCGTTTGTGACTGTATAGTCGAGCAGCCGGGTGCGGTTACAATAAATGCCGCTGTGTAGTAGTTCCGAGGGTTCGGAGGGATTTGAATAATGTACCATTTGAATGGCAACCGCCGCAGTTACAAAAGCGAATTAGAACGGTCTAGCGAGCTGTTCCATTCCATCGTCAGCCCTCCAAATATAGTATAGATAGGCAGAGTGACTGGCAGACTAATATAGTCATGTATTAAGAAGTGAAGGAGGAGCCAGAAAGTGTTGTCCCTTCTTAGCTCAATTGTTGTTGATGGAAAATGTGCTGCCGTTGAGAATCAATTAAATGAAGTCGAACACCGGCAATGAATGGCTTCGATGGCGTCTGGACTGATGTTGACTGGTTGTTGAATCTGTCGGCTGGCAGTCTTAATCGCCTCCTAGCTCTCTAAGTGACCTAACATCAGCAGTGTAGTGAACAAAAATCTGATTGTGAGAGTCGTTAGAACATTCTACCAGGGGCTTCCAAGAAAAAACCCGTGAGAAATAAATATTTTTTTGGGTCACTAATATGCAGCCACTATTCAACTATTACTGCCTCAATCTTCCAAATTAATG